AAAATCATCTCTTTATCACCCTCTTTGATATAAACTCTGGGTACAGTAGACTGGACCCACAACCACTATACCAGGCTTCTGATGCTTTTTTTTTTGCTTTAAAGTGATAAAATTGAAATCTATTCTATGGATTATGCCTTGAAGAAGGCAATCCCTAAGAATTGGATTGAAACCTTCTAGAGCTTGTGTTTTTGCTGTTTACTTCACTGGATTAATATGAGTTATTCAGTTCCATGAGGTTCAAACATTGCTCCAGGGAGAACCATTCAACCTTATATATTGCTTGAATTATTCTTCTTTCCAACTTTAACTTCTTCTTGTTTTTTTTTTTTTTTTGAATTTGTAGGTATCACTACAATGTAGCAGACGCTAGACTGCGTCAGCATGTAGACAAGGGTAATGAGGATGGGTTGTTTATTAGCTGTGTGGCTTCTTCATCTAATCTCTGGGCCTTGATCATGGATGCGGGAACAGGTTTCAATTCCCAGGTTTTTGAATTATCAGCAATCTTCCTTCACAAGGTTGTTGTTCTGAAGTGCTCTTTGCTATCATTTTTATAATGGAATTAATGCACCTCTCAAGTCTCAACTTATTTATTAACTTTACTATTTCTCATCAGGACTGGATTATGGAACAGTGGGAAAAGAATTACTATATCACTTCAATAGCTGGTGCTAATAATGGGAGTTCATTGGTTGTTATGTCAAAAGGTTGGTATTATCTGTGCTAAAATAAAACCTATTGCCCTGTATAAATTAAAAATCAATATGTGTGTGTGAGAGAGAGAACCTTTGCCAGCTTAATAGACATGGCAGAGCATGCCTCCCCCCTAGATTAACCATTGTGATTATGCCTTTTTTTTCATTTACAAAGAACAGCCAGTATATTCAGCCAAATACTGTAACTTGGCAGGAACTCCTTATTCCCAGCAGTCCTACAAAGTGAGTGAGTCATTTCCTTTCAAGTGGATAAATAAGAAGTGGAAAGAAGGCTTTCATGTCACGTCCATGACAACTGCAGGAAGTCGCTGGGGTGTGGTAATGTCCAGGAACTCTGGATTTTCTGAGCAGGTGCTTACTCCCTCTTGTTTTTAACTTTTCCACCATTGCTTTTACTGTTCTCGCTTTTCCTGTTGGTTTTGGTTTTTAAGTATGCCCTTCCTTAAGTAGCTAGCTAAAATTTGCTTTCTTATTTTGTTGGTGCAAGGTTGTGGAGCTTGACTTTCTGTACCCAAGTGAAGGAATACATCGCCGATGGGAGAGCGGCTACAGAATAACATCTATGGCAGCTACTGCAGATCAAGCTGCCTTCATACTAAGCATTCCAAAACGAAAAGTGATGGATGAAACTCAAGAAACTCTTCGCACCTCTGCCTTCCCAAGTACCCATGTAAAGGTCTGTACCTCTACGTACTTGACCCCTCATCTTTCCAATGCTTCACAAAATGCAGTCGTCACTAACAGCAAACTATGATTGCTTATTTTGGGTGTTTTCTCAACAGCATTGGAAATGTTGATTTAGATTTATTGGTTAATGTTGATTTAGATTTAGTGGATATCATCTTAGCAAGGTCTAGGTTTTACTAAAGTTTTTTTCTGTTTTCTGTTATTGCAGGAAAAGTGGGCGAAAAACCTCTATATCGCATCGATTTGTTATGGGCGGACTGTTTGCTGATTGTGGAGTGAACATGTGAGACATTCCAAAAGAAATTTAATGTTAAAATTTTGAAAGCTTTTGAGATATTTTCAGACTTGTTTCAGTATGGGATAGCTTCATACTGTAAGTTCAAAAAAAAAAAAAAAAAAAAAAAAAAAAAACCCAGCTCTGCTGCATAGGGCCTGGGCAAGGTGCTGGAGAACTGGTGCCATCTAGGCACATGTTTTGCAACACTGCTCTTACTTTATGAGATCCTCGTATTTATGGTCTCTAGCACAAATTCGTATTTTTCACATCTAGGTATGCTTGAGATAGGTGATTAAGGTTTTTCTCTAGTTGTATTGATAAGGGAAATTCTAAACAAGGGAAGAACTAATAATTTCTGGATATGTGATTTATTGCCGGCATTAAATTATGTGACTGACAATGAAAGTGAACTAATTTGGTCATTTATTTCCCTGTGTAGAACAATGAAACATACTGATATGGTAACTAAGAAAGAGTGGGTGGGTGAACATAAATGAGAAAGGCCTAATCATAATGTGACCTTTAAATGTATGTGTTTATTTGGAATATTTTGGGAGTGGCAATGCCAAGTAATAATGAATTTGGTGCACGGAATATATTATGGGATGAATGATAAGATTGTAGGAGCGTGCTTATTGGCTGTTTCATTCTTAAAGAGCTAGTCCTTTGAATTGGGTACAGATGGAGGATGAACACTAGAGACAATATTTGGTGAATCAAATCACTGTGACCTGTTTTGAAATTGAAAATTCCTTGATGACTCCTTTGATTGATCATCACTACCTGTGTTAATTGGAAGTCCATAAAACATGAGAAACCTTAAAAGGAAAGCAGTAAAAATGAAGAACCACTAGTGGACTTCAATAGCAACTTGTTTAAGAGGTCTAATTTGTTTTGAGTTGATTGTTTCTGGGAATACTGTGTTTCTCTATTGCTTCTG